TTTCAGTTACTGAGGCGCTTGTTATTGTGTGGAAGGATGTTCCCTTTCCTAGGAAAATGCACATGAATTTCTGACCAGCTCTGCACAGCTCTCGAAATGTGTTCTAGATGATTCTGTGCTTTTTCTTTCTGCATCCTTTGCGTTTCAAACAGGGTTGTTGTCAGGTTTAGGCTGGTTATTTGGATGCACTGACAACTTCTTTTGAATTCTTAAATCTGTTGTTCCATTGCAGTGGATGATTTAATAAATCGTTGGCTTAAAATGATTCAAATAGATGAATCCAATATAAGAGCACTTTATGATTTTGTGGCTATAAGGTAGATTAATGTACAAGGCAAATATAATTGGATAATATTTTTCTTCTTATGTCTTAGCACTCTTTTATGCTATATTAACATTTTGGTAATGTTTAAATTTGATGTTGTTTCTGAGCAGACATAAAATCATCCCTAGTTACTTGCTGGTCAGGTTGGGATTCTGTCCCCTTTCTCACTTACCTTGATCCCATAAGGCTGACTGGCCCCATCCTCTTCTTCACCCTTGTTGCTCTGCTTTCTCTTCCTTCCTTCGTAAGTCTATTGATGTGTTCTTGAAACTCTCTCTGTGTTTCTCCATGTGAGGAGGATTCCATGTTTCTTTCATGGATTCAGAAGGTATTTCAAGCTGGATAAAATGAAAACTATTTGTCTTTCCACCCTCTCTGTTTAGCATTTCACTTCCAGCAACCTCACCTGTGCTTCACCTCTGGTTTGAGGTCAAGGAAATAAAACAGCATTTGTCTTTTTCATCACTGAGCCATCTCTTCTCTCCATGGAAAACTCACCTTATTTGCAATGCTCCATTCTCTTGCAATATTTGAATTGTCCCCCTGTAAAACGTGTGTACTTCCTGAAATATGGTTGTGGGGGTTGTTTTGCATGGTTGGTTTGTTTGCTTTCCCCAAGAACCACAGCTAAAGGTCTTGGCTGTACTCTGGGAAGTGTCAACTTTATCCTGGTTTTCCCCAGATTTCCCAATAGGCTTCCAAATACAGGTCCCCAACCTGTTGGTTTTTATGGTGTATCGTTTCTGTTCTCTGACTCACATTAATATTTGAGTGTTTTGCCTTGATCATTCATAATTTTTCACAATTGTTTATAATTTTTCAGAGTTTTCTGCCTCTGTTTTCATTTCTTCCCCTCGAACTTCTTATTCCACTTTGAATCTGTTGTGTCATGCGTCTTTCTAAAAGCAGATTCTTTGCAACAGTCTGAAGTTCTTGCATTAGACCATCAATTTGCATTTCATTTTATTGGTGTAGTTTTATTTGATTGTAGCTGCAGCATGGGATATTTGTTACCAATGTTCATTTGAACAAGAGAAATAAAGTATTCCTGTATAGTGAAGAGTCTCAGAAGTTGTTCCATTGACATAGAAGTGGGAGCATACAGTGAAAATGTTTAAAAAGAAAAAAGCCTTGAGTTAAGGTAGAGCTTGCATTTTCAATTCACAAGTGAATATGCAAGATTTTTCAGCAGTGTTGAACTTTCTTTACTATTTCATCTCAATCTATAGATAATTTGGGCCAGAAGCCAAGCGTGCATTGTGTGTATTTTACAACCTTGCTTTCCTCACACTGCTCAAGTCTCTCTCTCTCGAGTGTGTGTGTGTAGGAAATCCTTTCAGAGACTGCCTCACCTTCATAAATCGCTGTGTGACACAAAAGGGCTGAACGCTGTATTCCTGCCTCATTTATTTGGCAAACTTTGCTACTGAAACCAAACTTAATCAATGAGCTCTGTGTTGTCTCCGATAAGTTATGTACTGGCTTTATTGATTGGGAAGGATTTTAGAAAACCCATGTGGGGTTTATAATGTCAGCAGTGTTTTGATTATGAAAAGAGTTGGAACCTTGGGACAAGGAACCAGGTGGTGTATGTCCTGAAGCCACGGGTGACACGGCTGGGCTCACTCCCTCAGGGAACACAGTTCATGCCCTGCACTTTAACTGTGGTGACTGGCTGCTATGGATGCACTTTTTGCTCATTAAAATGTTAAAAATCAAACTGCATGTAAAAAGATTTGTGAAAATATAAACTTGGGGATTGATCCAGAAAACTGGCACGTGAGACCCCAGAGACACTGGTTTCAGCTAGTGGGTAATTTACACTTCTCAGCTGTGTGTCCTGGATCTTTCGGGGGCTCTGTTCTTTTTAGTGGGTTTTGCTTTAGAGGCATTTATGTAGGCTTTTCTTTAAGAAAATAGGCATAGGGGAATAAAATGAGAAAACGGTCTACTGGTACTTCCTCTGAGTTTCATGTCAGGTAAAAACGTAAAAAGGATTATAGGACACCGACATGAAGTGATTCTGGGTTTGGTTTTGTTATGGTTTTTGTTTGAAACCATAAAGAAATGATGATTTTCCTAGGCCATAAGTAACACCCACCTACAGAGCTCTGGTAGGAAGTTGTGTAGGATTGCTCATCTTCCAAACAGAGCAGTTTTCAAAGGAAAAAAAGGCATTACATTTATAGTAATGAGATTGCAACTTGAGCAAAAATCGATTAGTTCTCCCGTGTTTGTATTTCTAACATGCAAAAGATCAGCAGTTTTGCTTACTAAAAACTATTTCTAGATATTATTTTTTAAAATAGTTAGAATCCCAAAATATGTCTGTGGTTATCCTGGACTAGTCTCAAATTTTTAGTTATAAATGAAGGCAGATCAGTGTTGGTACATAGTGAGTGGCAAATTACGTGCAATAACATTATAAAAGTCACATAATATCACTGTAAATTCTTTCTTTAAAATACAAAGCAGTATATAACGGTACAAATTCAATATATTGCTTCTTTAAGTGGAAATTTCATTTTCTGTGTTTAGGAAGCTCTAATATCAAGAAAAAAGTGCAAAGTTAAGTTCTGAGTAATACTCTTACCCTACAATAACACAATGCTGGTGAGATGTGAAAGTGTTTTATTATGTGGATGTTTTACTTGCAGTTGCAGTAATTATTTAAATCATCATAATAAAGGAGAGAATATATTCTGCTGTTTCGAGGTGACTGATGACTTGTCTTTTAACACTGTTTAGTTCAGAATTTATGTAGCAGCTATGTGGCTTTGTTCCTGAAAACTAGATGCACAATCATTATTTTGAAGACAGTGTGTATTGATAAGGCAAATAAAAATACAGGCACTTTATTCTTCTGCAGTTCCAATTTTGATCCTTTTAAAATTCTGGGGTTTGTGTTGTTTTTGGTTTTGGTTCTTTGGTTTTGGTTTTTTTTTGGTGTGTGGTTTGCTTTTTTGCTTTGTTTTAACATTTTCCACATTAGGATTTCAGTTGTGGGTGAAGGACAACTGTGTAGTAGTTACAATTTGTCTGGATGCTGGTTTTGCACACAAGCAGTTGGAGTTGTTCAGCACACAGTCAATCTTGTGGAAGTCAGTGGGATTCTGCACAAGGGTGAACCCAATCACAGTAATGAGCCCTTTACTATCAAGGCATTATTTTGTATCAAAATCCATATTTCTGCAGAGGTTACTCTGAAACCTCTGTAGCTCCTTGCCAAAAAAACCTGCTGAAAGGGAAAGGAGGCTACTGCTTTGCTTTACATGGCATTCTTCAATAGATCCTTTCTTGTTCTTTAAAAACAGGAGGTTGTTAAATAATCTATCAATAAACTGTCAAGAAGTCAAAGTTTCCATATCTGCTTCTGCCTGAAACCTTAAGAACTTGCCACATTTTAGTTGTCAAGAAACCTCCAAAGAGGAGTCTGTGAGCAGTTGAGCCTGAAACCATTGCGAAGAATGGGGTGTGCTTATTTGAATTATGTAGGAGGAACATGTTCTTGCAAGGGAGTCAATATGTTTTCTGCTTCATTGAATAGGTTATTAGATTGATGTAGTTTATTTGTTGAATGATGGCATTGGTTTTAGAAATAAATGAAGCGAGAAGCATCAATTTAGTTATTGGTGATAACTTATTGTTGCTGATCAGAGAAGTGTTGAATGTATCGGAGGGTTTGTCATGTAATCAGGGTTATCTTGTTTCAGCTGAAAGCGGAAGTATAGGTTGCATTTCAGGTCCTGAAATATTTAAGTGTGAAGGAGAATGAACAACGAATTGTCTGGTAGCAGAGGTCTGCAATCTGTGTAGACCTTTATGGTGGGATGTGAATTACAGATTTCAAATTTTGAATATCATGGAACAGTGTAAATGGATTGCTTTTGTCTATGAACACAACTGTTCGGGGACTAACATGTTTCTGTATTTGTTTAAAGTTGTGAAGTTAAAAATGATTAATTTCACTGCTGAGCATGTTTTCAGTTTTCATATTATTGCTTTTTATTTGATGTCAGGCAAAGGCTGTACTTAAAAGTTTCTCTGTGGTGCTGCTTTGCAACTTCTACAAAATGGCTTGTAGTTTAACCAATTTGTATTAATTTTAATACACATTATTTTAGTCAGTCTTTTAACACTCAGATTTTCATTCTAGTTGCAGTAGGCAACATTAAACATTCCTGCTATGAGACCTATTGGCTTTATCTTTTGTTATTTATCTTGCTGATGTTAGGAAGTATTCTCTAATCCCCCAGACCTCTGTTCCTAGGTAACAGTCAAAAGCTGTGCCAGCAGAAGTGGTCCTGCCAGGCCAAACCCATGTGGTTTGGTGTTATTCACTATGATCCATATGGTCAGGGTAGAGATTGTCCCCAGAGAGGTGTTAACACTCAACAACCCAACCTCCTCCTACTCTTTGGAGAATTGCTGGATGGCTCCTGCTGCCTGCCCATGTGTGAATCTTGATTAATTTTTCATTTTTAATGAAGTTTGATCATGTTTATTATTTCACATGATTGACTGCCTGGTACTCCTTCCATGTAATTGATAAAGCCCATATTTCTTCATCTGTCTCTTATTTCTTCAGGGTAAAGTTGTGAAATTGTGTGATGTGGTTAATATTAGATTTATTGGTCCCAACAGATGTATAAATTATCTCTTTTTCTCTCCACAGGAAGTTCTACAGACTTTGACCAAGTTTTGTTTCCCCTTCTATGTGGACAGGTAGTGTTAGCTTTTCAAACTTTACAAGAAAATAAGCTTGTCAATAAAACTACTGTAGAAAATAAAAACCATACCATTCTTAATGTTCTGTCTGCCTGGCTGTGACTTAAAGCACCCAAGTGCAAATTATAGTCTCAGAATCACTTTTTCCTGGGGTTTTTATGGGCACCATCAAAAAAAAGAAGTTTTAAAAGTTTGAGCTGTTCCGTGGCAGCAGTAACAACATTTTGTTTTACTTCTGTGTAATGCTTGGATGGGAAAATGCTTGGGTGGTAATTGTCAAATATGTGTGTTAATATCAAAGCTTTGTGTGTGTATGTATTTTATTTCTTAATTGCCAAAATCTGGGCAGAGCTATGAATTAAATGCTTTACATTTAAAGGCTCTTGACCTTGCTAGAATGTTGGTGCTTGGTGGGTACTTAATGTGGCTTCTAATTTTGGAGGGGAAACTTGTAAAGTTACTGTGGATTTGACAGGAACTGGGAATGTTTAATTCTTGTCATTTAGAAAACTCCAGAACATTTTTAGCTTTTTAGCTTTGCTTTTATTGTGAGTTATTTTTGATGGTTTCATGAAAAGAACAAGGGTTCAAATGTTGAAAAGATGCACCATTGCTCATATCATCCACGAGAGCATCATTTAATTGGTCAGAATCACTTGTCTTGGGTCAGCTTATACACTGAACAGTCGTGATTGATGGAATTGACCTTAGCTGTGATTAAACTGCTAGAAATCTTTCTCATTTCAGTAAAATCGGTGATATTTACCATAGAAATTGATTTTCTTTATAAATCAACATCTGCTTCTAATATCACTTCTTGTTTGAGCCCTTATTTATATATTTATTTACATACTTGCCTCTTAGGCAGCTGCTATTTCTTAGTTGTCTGTGAATGGAGGTGAAATCTCACTGTGCTTCTCTGGAGATAGGAGTGTACATAATAAAACCACTGCTACACTTTGTAATCTGGGGCTTCGGGAAGCCAAAAGCTTGAATGGATCATGCGGATGATCTGTTCTTTTAACGTGCTGGGTGGTTCCTGAGGATCAGAGTTGAGAGCCATGGGTGAGGCGCAGCTGGAGACACCGGCGCCTTTGCTGTACCTGCTTTGTACATGAAAAGAGAATCTGAATATCCTGGGCTGTCAACATGAGCAACTTAACCAGAGCTCCTTGACTCGAATGACCTTTAAAAGCCTCAACACCTTATAATTTGGAATTACTTTTTGCTGATCATCTTTTTCTTTCCCTGCTCCTTCCCCTTGGGAAGTACTTCCATACATTTTTCTCATGTCTGTGTTTCTACTAGAAGTATTCATGCTTACTGTGTGTAGGTTTATTGTACCTAGGGGTTTTGTTTGTTTTGTTGTTTTTTGGTTTTCCCCACCAATATAACATTTTGAAAGATAAGAACACTGAAAACCCATATGGGTGCAAATGAGAACATAATGAACACTGATTCCCATTTCTGGATTTGCTTATTTGTCTGAATATCACAGACTGCCTCTGAAAAGACTGTAAGCCAACAGTTTTGAACATAGAGATTGTAACCCATAACTTAAAATTAAGGATGAACTTCAGTACTCCAGAATGTAGAGGACTTCCCAGGTTGAGGATGTGGCAGCAGAAAGACGTGTGTGATACTTCTCTTGTTGGTATAAAAATACACATACACGCAAGTGTGCATGCATGCATAGGTGTGTGCATAGGTATAAATATGAAAACAAATAGTTGTTGTAGTCCTCTGATATAAATTTGACAAGTTCAAAGCAAATCTGCCAGTAACAGCAAGAAGGTAAATAGTCTTAGATCACTGAGTGCATGTGAATTTAATGTGACCATGATAAAGGGAACAATATAGTGCATCTGAAGTGCAAAATGTTCTTCATCTTTTAGCTATGTCCAAGTTCAGAACTGATTGAATACAGGTTCTTAGAGGCTGTTTCTGGAACTCAACAAGTGTTGAATTTGAACTAGTTGGTCCCTATTTACTATTAACCAATGACTGATTATTTATTTTTACATTTCTTAAATCACATTAAAAATAAATAAACAAAATAATAACCAAATAACTAATTTACTTACTTTTCCAAGGAAGTGAGCAGGTAGCCCCATCATGAAATTAATTCAGACGATGCTTTAATATTCCCCTCAGTTTTCTCAGTAAACACTTTTTCTACTTTGAGATGAAAAGAAATTGCTTCTAGAAGCAACACTGTCTTCAGTTATATGTCAGAGGGGTCCTTACAGTCATGTCTTACAGAGTTGACTAGCACTCTCTAGTGGGACTTTATCCCTCTGTATGTGCCTGAAAAATGGTGTGTTGGATCGGATCTCCAGTTACTGTAATTCTTAGTCCTCAGGGATTTTTTTATATATATATATGTGTAGTTTTGTTCATTCTGAACAAAAAGAGAAAGAAACACTGAAGTGATTGCAGTAACAGCCTTCCAAATACTTAGCAACTACTCCCAGGTAACTTGTTTGCCTTGCTGGCCATGACAGTTTTAGTATTAGAATCTCTCTGCAATGTTGAGAGGTTGTAAAATTATTATTCTTAATATAACAGTGGAGATATTGGCTTATTGCTCAAATAACTTAGGAACATGGGATAATACCTTCTTTTGGAATAATACTGTGTAAGTTGTCTCTTCAAGGTCTGTGGAAATATGATCAGTATGAATTACGAGTTATTATGCTGATACAAGTGACCAGAAGTGTGTAGTCACTAAAGAATAGACACTACTTTTCCTTTCACCAACTCGGAGCCCAAGGTAGCATTATCAGTCATAGAATTTGGGTTTTCAAGTCCTGACATAGTCATGTCCCCAGTTAATACCCTGTTTGTGAGGAGGTTTACTTGGGGAAGTTTAATTTCCCTAACTACGTTCTGTGTTACGTGCAGTATGATGCCAAGCTTTCAGTGGAAACTTCTTGATGGGAGGAGTGTGCTCAGTGGTACTCCAGCTGAGTCTTGCTCTTCTGGCTTGGATGCTAAACAGTGGTATTTCTTTGACAAGTGCTGAGAAAGGACATAAATCTTCACCTTCATGTGTGTCTCTTCTAAGGCTGAAGGTTTTCTAAGGCAGGTGGCATAAACTGAAGATGTTCTGTTGCCTCTGCCAGATCACTTCAAATGATGATCAGACACCAAGATTTTTAGGCCAGTGAAGATCACCTGCCTATGTTATTGTTCTCTGTGCTGAAGGTTTTGGCACTCATTGACGCATACGCTTAATTCTTTATATATCAATTCTTTTTATATGTCAAAAATCACCAGGGACTAGTTGCCCCTTCCTTTACTCAGTGGACTGTGAGTTTTCTGTTCTTACGGCTACAGGATCAAGACAGAGGCTATTTTCAAACTGCAGGAGTGAAGAACTCCACCTGAGTCAAATTTCCTATCAGGATTAATTTGTGTTAGTTAGATATAGGTAGCTCTCTCAAACCAATCCAAACTTCTGCCTGCCCATTTAGAGATAGATTCATTTAGATTCATGGTGCTTCCACCCTGTTAAGCTCTAAATAGACCTTCTTCCCATTTGAAGATAGACATGTAAATATCAAGTATTGATATTAAAATCTTAAGAAAAGAACTTTTTATCTTGGGAAGTTTATCCTTCCACATGAAGAACTGACAACTGAAACTTGAGCAAGACCTATCAGACATATTTAGTTTCTGCAGATCACCTGAATGTAAGAATCTTAGAACTTGTCACAGTTATTCCATAAGCGAGCTTCTCCCTGCTGCAAATGAAGCATGGATTTTTTCCCTGTTCCATAATTTTAATTGTCAGCTAGAATTTCTCACACACGCTCTGCTCTCAACCTTGTTAAAATTAAGCATATAATCCCTTTTTAAAACACCATACTAAAATCACCATAGTAACATTACATCCAAGCTTTACAGATAAAACACAACAGCAGTCAGGGATTTTTTGGTATCCTCTGGCAGCTCAGTGTGGTTTATGGAAATGGTTGCTCTGTTGACATTCAGATTTCAGCAGGATGATGATGCTTACTCTGTCTAGTTCTCAGACTACTGAAATGCTTTTAAATATCTGTCTTTTTGTTCATCTGTGAATTTGGAGCACTTTTTCATCTTCATCACTGCATGTTTTTCCTTCCCTGTATGGAATCCGTTGAAGGATTCTTCTTTCTAAACTGCACAGTGACATTTTTCCTATCCAGATTCAATTTCTATTACTGAAAGTCAGTTTTCTCAGTTCCCAGTAAACCCAAGATAAACTGGAACATAACCTGAAATAAGGGTTAATTTTGTATCATTATGAGGTCTGAAACTGGATTGAAAGTCCTCTAATCATTACATTAGTCCCAGCTCACCACTAAATGTCAACGTTTCTGTTAAACAGGAAAACAATTCTGCAAGCTGGGAGGTGAATTGAGCTTGGCTTAGGTGGAGTCTGGCATCGCTGTACTGAAGCATTTGATTAACTAGACAAATGGGGTCATATCTCAAGAATGTCTTTCATTTTCTTAATAAATAGCATTCTGAAACTGCCATGCTTTAAATGTAAAGCATCTTAGTTTGAACTTATTTCAAGTGGTGAAATACAGATACGAATTACAGTATTTTTAAAGACATGAGGTTTTAAATGCTCAGGTTTTGGGCTTTTGTGTGTGTTTGTGTGGTTTGGTTCTTGGCTTTTGGGACGGGGTTTGTTTTTTTTATGTTTTTGTTTTATTTCACGTTGTTGGTTGTGGTGTTTGTTTTCTATCACTGTGTTTTTCCAATTTGGGCAAACTTTCCTGTAGTGATGCTTTCGCCTGTGGTGCGAGTAGGAGCCAGCGTCTGAGAATGTTATTAGTTCACCTGTACTGTTCTTGAAGAGCTGTTAAGATCTTACAGTTGAGGCAAATTACTCCTAATAAAAAAACATACGGAAGTCCTCCAAAATTATTTCTGTAGTCATGGCTGGCTCTAGCACAGTGTATTTGTGCTTCTGGTTTATCTTGTCTTCCTTTGCATGCTATTCTAGGCTTTAGCTGTTAAAGGAGAGTCACCTGGCATGGTTCCAGCTGCTGAACGTTTTGGAATCATGTATCTGGCATACATGCAAAATTGGTAGATGGATAAATAAAGCTTCTACAAGTCAATATCCAAGTGTTGAAGAAGCTTAGCATGTTATTAAACATTGATTTGCTCTTGGAGTAAACCAATTTTCAAATGAAGAGTACAAGGAAATATTTTGGGTTTGGTTTGTACAGTGTGTACTGCACTGAGGATGGTTGATAGTCATAACCATTTTCATTTAAAGAGAAACACATTTTTAGTATCCTCCCACACTTAAAATACGGAAAAACCAACCCAAAGCCCACTCCTCCCTCACCAAGCAAGTCGAATATTTAAGTTTCTAGATGGTGTATACTCACAAAGTTAATTTCTCCAAGAAACACTGCTGAAAGAGGAAATGTTATAGGTTCAATGACATTGATGAGATACTTTTGACACAGAGTTAGCTCAGCATTAATTTTTTTTCTTCTTATTCTCTTTATTTTCAGCCATGCAGTTAACCAAGTTGGGCAGAACTTTACGTTTGTGCTTACAGACATTGACAGCAAACAGAGGTTTGGATTCTGTCGCTTATCTTCTGGGGCCAAGAGCTGCTTCTGTATCTTAAGGTAGGTCTGTGGCTTGGCTTTTGGCTGACTCTAGGAACAGTGTTTGACTTTGCTGTGTTACACTGCAATTATAATTTCCAGCTGTTCAAAATTATTTTCCTATCTGGTCCTCAGAGTCACTGCTCTTCTGCAGAAGTGATGCAAAATATCTTGCACTTTGAGTTCCTCTGTAGATAACTGTATTTGTTTGTAGTCAATGTTCTTGAGTTAACAATGTGGAAAAAAAAAAGTCTCTCTGCAGTAATGTGATATGACATAGCAGGGTGGCAGCTGTTATCTTTAGCTGTCACAGCTGATCTTGTTAAGACGTTTTGTGGACATTTGTATATGCAAGTTTTATTAACAAAGCATCTGTTGGTAACTGAGAGAATGTCACTGATGCTCTCCACATCCTGGAAGTTTGTATGTATGAGCTTTACTCTGTTCCATTGAGGGTTTTGTGGAGTTTGTCATAAGAAAGACTGTTAGTGGAAGTTGGGAACAGTGCATTTCACATAAAATGGGCAAAGAGGCTCTATCAGAGTGGGTTTTGATGGCCTCTCACAAACATGTTGAGATACAGTCTGTAATTTTCTATTTACATTTGTTTCAAGAAATGATGCAAATAAAATCAGTTTTAATGTCTACCAGTATATTAGATCCATTAAGAACTCCATTAAGAATTATGGATTGAAGATTTACACATGGCCTCCAGCCTGTCTTGGTTTAAATGGTCTGCCTTGGGCTTTCTGCTTTTTGCATGTTGGTGAGAACTTGGGAGTTTTGGAGAAATGGCTCAGGTAAAGGTAGCTCAGAGCTGACTGTATGAACAGACTGAACATTGCTCGAGCAGTCACAAATGAGGACAGTTTCCTCTAGGAGCAATTGCAGACATCTGTCTCAGTTGTCTCTGATTTGCTTTTCATATGAGAGAATCCAGTGTGAAAACAAGAAGAACTTGTCTTTGTCCTGTGGGTGCTGTGTGTTGCACATGATGGAACAGGACCTTCTATATACGTGTTACTGAATATGATCCCTCTGGAGAATTTCAGGGTTAATGTGGCAAAATACAAGAGCACCTATCAAGTACAAGGACAGGTTGTATACAGCAACGCCACAGAGTAGATTCTGGATTGATGAACGGGTTTAAAATTAATGTCTCTGCCATTTGTGCTGGCACTAGGCTGGTGAAGATACCAGATGTGTGTTGCCATGTACTGCAGCATTATGCTGGTGGCAGTGATCTGCTGACTAGGCCTTCACTGAAGAAGCTTAGTATTTGGATAAATTATTGAGAAACCTACCAGAATTGCTACCTAACTGTGTGGGAGGCAGGTGTTTTCTGAGTATCTTTGTTCTTTCTTTTCTCTAGCTGACATTTCAACTATTATTAGTGATGGCAATCCAGCAATAGACTTGTACTGAAGACAAGAAGGCATTTCCATAGCTCTTTTGGGATGCTGATTCGCTCTCATGTGGGAAGTGGCTGGTTACATAAAGTAACTTTTCCTGATTAATGACAAATTAAAGGGAAAACACTTTAATAAGAAAATCTGAATGAGGAGCAGTATCAGTCCATTCTTGATCTCTCCTGGATAATAGTTCTTTGCTGTCAGCTCCCTTATGTTGAGTGAATGCCAAGAAGAAAAGGAGTTATGTTGTAGTTAAATGCCTTCTGCTTCAACTCATAACCAAAAAACAACAACAAAAAGAGTTCTGTGCTGTTACAGCAGTGGATGAGTTGGGACTCAGTTTCATTCCTATCACTTCTTTCTCCTGTGAACTAATGAGAAAATTAAAGTTCATCATTAATGCATGTGCATGAAAGTTTTAGAGGATGATTAATAATGTACGTCAGCATTACATGGATTCACTTGCTCTGTTCCCAGGACTGCAGCACCTGTTGTTGATGTGAATCTTCGCAGTGTCCTTTATGGATTAAAGGATGCTGCATGGTAAATGGATGGGTGAAAACACGTTGAAGAATCTCAGAATGAGACAAAAAAGCAAGTGGGGATGAAAAAAAAAATTGTTTGTTTTTCGGGGACAGGTTGGATGGCAGCAAGTTTTGAGATGATTATTTTTATTATTAGAGATGATAGTCATGTGTTCATAAGTCAGAGATCTAGTGCGTCTGGCCATGGTATAATGGCTTGGAAGTAGGAGATCATCATATGGTCAGATTCATTATTGAAGAGGAGCAGGAGGACAAGGAAATTCTTTTCACTCAGCCAGTGCTTTAAAAAGTGTCTGTAGAGGTCAGGAAGCAAAGTTTAAAACTGAAGTCAAGGTCTGGACTTTGAGTTTTAAAGTGAGACTTTTTCACGTAGATGCAAAGTACAGTAAGGCGCTTCTTGGAGTTCAGTAGCAGTAATGTTATCCACGATGTGGCTCCTGTGGCCAGCAGAAAGGCAGTTCCATTTTAAAGAGTAACTCTTTTGGCTGTTTCAACAGTACTCTTTAGAAATCTGCTTTCACGGTAATTTTCATAGTGTTGTTCCTGCTGTGGTTTGCATCAACACACACATTGATGGAAATCTCTGATTAAGTTTTCGGAGATTACTGAAAGAACGTCATTGAGGTGTTCTATGATTTTCTGTTAATGTAGAACCACTGCGTTTTGTCTCTGTTATTCCATTTCCTTTTTTCTTCATTTCTAGCTGATCATGAAACTACAGTGATCAAATGGGGTATTGTAGCACCGAGTTGTAGTGCTCTGTAGCACCAGTGACAAGCTTCTGCACTTCAGACAGCAGAGGGCGGACAAAAGCACAGAACCAGTGTCACGGTGGGGTTTTGGAGGTTCTAAGCAGTGAAGTGAATTATTAAAACCCCACAAGCACATGTATCCCACATCGGAATCTCCTGGGTGACTTGATTTCTGGACTACCTTTTCCAATGCAATATATTACAAAACGTAGAATCTGCTTTTGAAGTATTTTCTTTTCCAAAGGAGGAATGTGTGGCAAGTTGAGAACTAGTGGCCAAGTTGTCAGATTCTGAGTTCTGATCTGGTATTTTAATATCCTAGAGAATTTCTATGCCCAAATACTTTTTTCTTTCTGAGACTTCATTGAAGAATTTTGGCTGAAATGAAATAAATCCTATTGGATATGCATTAAGAAGTGGATTTTTGTTGTTGTTGTTACTAGAGGTTTTCTTTAATCTAACTGATAATGTTCTTTCATTAGAACAGAAGAGTCTGGAAGATGGCAGGGGTTCCGAATTTGTTCTTGATTTGCTGTTTCCTCCTAATTGCAGTTACTGAAATATAAGGACCAGTGATTAAAAAAATGGCAGTATGAATTTATCTTTCTGCTTTTGTATGTTCTTGAAGTATAAAGATACATCCTGATTCTTAAGAATTTTGCATGCTGAGGCTCTTAATTTTCATTTCCTCATTTTTTGATGTTAGATCTTCTTCCTGACTTGCTCATTTTTTTCTTATTTCTAGCAACTCTACCTGTACTAAAGTCTCCAGAAGCTGGTTTGTTGGTTCTGTTATGGACACTGTTGCTCAGTGGCTCAGCTCTATTTGCCTCTTTGGCTAAGTGCTATTATCCAGAACTCTTTAGGCTTTGATCGATTTCAACATTCTTTTGATGGAAAAGTAATGCATAAACCAGTTTATATTGGTATGAGGAAGTGCACTGAAAGGAGTAAGGTGTTTTATTTTACAGTCTGGTTTCTCAAAGTTGAAGTGGACAAACACTTCATACATGGTCTGCTCATAATGGGAAA